GCAACTTACATCATCGAAAGATATTTTGAGTCCGATGAAGAGGACAATTAGTTAGAACTTCTTTATCGATGAATCGGAGACGCGTGCTTGATTTTGGAGGTTTGTGCACATAAAAATAAAAAGGACTATTATTGATGTTGTTAGAGTTGACGGAGCCTGACGACGCATTTGCACAAATAGGCAGCGTCGCTGAATACGAACATGACAGACAAGCACAGTATCCAATATTTATCGCCGGATATTCCTAAGCAATTTACACGATCTTCATTTAAAAATATCAAGGGAAAAAAAATCACACGAATGAAATGTATTTCTACAATGAATTATTTAAATTTTTTGATAGCACACCAAACTCATTAAATTTAGGAAATGAAATTAAGAACAGATTTGTTTTCTTTTAAAATCTCATTAAGTATTTTCAAAGATGTCAAATACACGTTTGAAGTCTTAACCACATTGCAATAATACATCATCCCAATGTTCATGTCAATCGGGAAATCGTTCCAGCGCACGCACCAAAAACTACATCCAGCATTGGACACCACCAACCGAATTTTCTCATCTCTACTTCATTCTATATAATCTATCATTCAAAGAAACATGCATATATCCAGTACGGTACTGCATATATGACATATCTGTATATATATATATATAAACTAGTAGCAATCACAGTCATCACCTAACTGAAAAATGTAGGAGGTCATTGAATCTAAACAATTTTTTACACCACATCCAATGGTGATGGAAGGATAAAAAATGCACCTGCACACAGATCTCCACGACCACTCCAATACCTGATAGACATACAAAGTAAACCAATACAGGTGGACACCCACCAGGAACAAAATCATCGGGATAAACATCAACAACCTTAACAAGAACAGCAGCACCACAGAGAAAACAATGCTCACGGTAATCTTCAGATTTCCCTTTTCGCCATCCTTTGCCCAAGTTGAAGTCAACTGTTTGAATTGGTTGAATGCTTTGTCAAATTGAGGTTCGATAAAGAAGAAAATTAGTGTGACGGGAACTGCACAGAAACCAAGACAGAAACCAATCATAACGCCAACTATCAATTTGTGGTAAAAGAAATCAATGAATTGCTTGATCTTATTAGGTATGGTGGTCGAATAGAGGTGTGAAATTTTTTTGTCGAGGATGAGGGCATCCTGAATTGGACGCAAGATCGGTGAATCGACGAGTTCCTCTTTGATCGAGTTGCCAAGGCAGAATTGATAGAAAAGAAAGATGATTGACATGAGCGCGGATTCCTCGTGGTATGGATAATCGGGTCGCTTGATTTGAACGACTATGGGCAATATGAGGGTGATGAATAGACTCTGCGCGAGACATGCTTGTAAACTTGCCGGTAATATTATGCCCATGTAGAAAAGAATGAGTAATGGAGAAAGTATGACGGTTGTAAATTTGAAGGGTCGTGAATATGTTTCATTTGCCATTATGCCAGCGTATATATCATGTATCGAAGGAATGAACCAAATCGCATAATTGTAAAAATTTGATATGATACATGACGTTAATATCGGGATGAAATATATGTTAAATTCGAAAAAAATGAGACTTGAAACTGATCAATATAGATATTTTAAGAAGTCAACGAACGGATTAGATTTCGAGGGTTTCA